GAGCGGCTGGGCCCGTGAGCCATGGCCGCTGAGCCTGCGCGTCCGGAGCCTGTGCTCCGCAACGGGAGAGGCCACAACAGTGAGAGGCCCGCATATCGCAAAAAAAAAAAGAAAGAAAGAAAAAGGAGCAGAGAAGAGAAAGAGCCAGTTTGCAAAAGAATAGCAAATAGCAGACATGTAAAAAAATGCTCAGCCTCACTAAAAATCAATGTACATTAAAAACAAAGAGTTTATTTTTCAGTTAACAGACTTGCAAACGTTTAAGAGTAATAATTTTGCAGCTCGGGAGGGTATGGGGAGACAAGTGCTCCTGTACAAGTAAGGCATCACGTTATCAGAGTTGTAACTGTGCATCCCTTTGACCCAGTAGTTCCCCTTCAGGGAATTTATCTAAGGAAAAGAATTGGACAAATGGGCAGAAATGTACTTATAGGGGTGTTCATTGCAGTATTATTTCTAATTGCAAAACTTTGAATAATCCAAATGTTCAGTCAGTAGGGTATTTGTCAGGTAAATTGTAGTGTATCCATATTGTAGAATACCTGGAAGCCAAAAGAAGGATAATGCAGGTGTGTATGGTAACATGGGAGGGTATCCACAATATATAGTTAATTTTAGGAAGTATGTTAAACAGTGTATACATTATCTCTCCATGTGTTTATACAGCTTTTAAAAACTGTAGATCTAGGTATAATATGTTTTTATTATTACCTGGAAAAAAAAATCTAATGTTAATAGTCTGAGGCATGAGATTATAAGGGGGAGCCACTTTCAGTTTTTCTGTTATACATTTCTGCACTGTTTTAATTTTTAAAAGAAACACACATTGCTTTTTTTCCATAAAGTTACATTTAATAATTTTAAAGATATAGTCTTTTTTTTTATTGAAGTGTAGTTGATTTACAGTGTTGTGTTGTGCTAATTTCTGCTGTTACAGCAAACTGACTCAGTGATAGACATATATACATTTGTTTTTTATATTCTTTTCCATTATGGTTTATCCCAGGAGATTGGATATAGTTCCCTGTGCTGTACAATAGGACCTTGTTGTTTATTCATCCTATGTATAATAGTTTGCATCTGCTAATCCCAAACTCCCAGTGCATCCCTCTCCTTCCCCTCCAGCCCCCTTGACAACCACAAGTCTGTTCCCTATGCCTGTGAGTCTGTTTCTGTTTTGTAGATAGGTTCATTTGTGTCATATTTCAGATTCCACATATAAGTGATATCATATGGTATTTGTCTTTCTCTTTCTGACTTTCTTCACTTAGTATGATAATTTCTAGATGCATCCATGGTGCTGCAAATGGCATTTTTCATTCTTTTTTATGGCTGAGTAGTATTCCATTGTATATATGTACCGCCTCTCCTTTATTCATTCATCTGTCGATGGACATTTAGGTTGTTTCCATGTCTTGGCTATTGTGAATAGTGCTCCTGTGAACATAGGGGTGCATGTATCTTTTTGAATTATAGTTTTGTCCAGGTATATGCCCAGGAGTGGGATTGCTGGATCACATGGTAACTCTATTTTTAGTTTTCTGAGGAACCTCCATACTGTTGTCCATAGTGACTGCACCAACTTACATTCCCACCAACAGCGTAGGAGGGTGCCCTTTTCTCCACACCCTTTCCAGCATTTGTTATTTGTAGACTTTTTAGTGATGGCGATTCTGACCAGCACACATTGCTTTTATTATTAAAAATATATATCTTTCCAGGAGAGGAGGGGTGCAGATTTGACAAATAATAGATAAGACATTCCTGGATAAGAAATATCTGAAACAGTGTAAGGAGCCTTTAGATCTTCAAACACATTTCAGAGTATTTCCTTTTTAAAAGTTTTATTCCCCTTTTTTTGAAATATAATTGACATTATATTAGTTTCAGGTATACAACACGATGACTCGACATTTGTCTATATTGCCAAACGATCACAATAAGTCTAGTTAACATCCGTCACCATATATAGTTACAATTTTTTTTTTCTTGTGATGAGAACTTTTTGCGTGTGTGGTGAAGGAAGGTGCAGTGTTTATGACAGGGAGCCAAGCTAGGAGTTCAGGACAGCTAGTGCCGGAAAAGCCTGAACTCTGATGAGAACTTTTAAAATTTGCTCTCTTAGCAGCTTTCAAATATAGTCTCTTAGCAGTGACTATAGTCACTGTGCCGTACATTACATATTTCCTTTTTTAAAAAACTTATGAATACGAAAATATATTTGACTTAATTTTAATACATAAATTTTAATCACATTACATTTTTTTAACATCTTTATTGGAGTATCATTGCTTTACAATAGTGTGTTAGTTTCTGCTATATAATAAAGTGAATCAACTATACGTATACCTATATCCCCATATCCCCTCCCTCTTGCGTCTCCCTCCCACCCTCCCTATCCCACCCCTCTATGTGGTCACGAAGCACCGAGCTGATCTCCCTGTGTTATCACATTACATTTTAAAGAAGCCCAAAGCAGTGCTCCCATTCACATTTCAGTGAGATTTCATATGCAGCTCATATTCTTCTTGTTCATTTTGCAAAGACTCACATCCATGAACTAATTCTTAATGTATTTTTTTCCAATCAGGCCTTTCTGGGCCCCACGAAACTGTTTATTTTCAATAGCTAGTTATTCTGATGTGAAGCTTCCTGGGGGAGGTGTGTGCCTGGAACAAGGCTGGCAGAAAGCACACCTCTGTCTACCTGAGCCAGTGCTCGCACTTACCGCGAGCTCCCGGCACGCCTTGACGCGATTCGGAAATACGACCACCGCCCAGCCTGCTTTGAGGGGGAGCTAAATACTGATTACAAAAAAAGAGTGTTGTTTTGTTTTAACAATTTGAGCACAGACTTCTACCCACGTTTTTAATTAACTCTTAGATGGACACGGAGTGCTTTTAGGTGAAGCGTGTTCATGGTCGCACTATAAATCTGGGAATGCGACCGTGCCATCATTTATCTTCTCAATAATGTCGTTGTTCATTAAATAAACAATTTTATTAGGCATCTATAAATCAGAGACTGAAAGAAATTTAAGTTTGTATATATCTACTCTTGGTATCGATGATCTTATATACTACAATTCCTGACTTGCCCAATTGTGGGAAACTGTCCAGTGAGCCTCACAGGTGGTTCCCTCAGTGATTGCTGTGGGCACAGTCATCATCTCATGAAGCAGTTATGTTTTCAGTCCTGTCCCAAATCTCCCATTTATTATGATCTAAGATGAATTAGATTCTGAAATATACACTGTTATAAACCTAGTACATTTGACCAAAAAGTATTTATCCTGGTTGATTAGAGAGTCAGAAAACACCAGTTTGAATGGGAGTGGGCATTCTTTACTGTAGCATCAGTTTATTCTCAAATGATGCCCTTGATTACTAGGAATAAAGACAAACTTGGTATTAAGAATGTCACATTTGGAGAAAAACATGACTTTTCTAGGACTGAAATCTGGTTTGGAATATTATTGGTAAATTCTGATTCTTAAGTTGTATAGTGGTTTCATTGTTACTTTATTATTATGCTTTCTTTTCATGATATACATTCTTTTATAAATATCAAATATTAATTTTTTAAGGAAGAAACTAGATTGGGTGTTTAGGGCCTAGTTTGTTTAGTCTGTGTTCACTATTTCATTCATTAATTCGTTCAGTGTGTTGTTAAATGACGTGTGGTTTGGGCAGGATTAAAGATAAGCGAGGTATTTTGTGTCCTTAGATTCTGAGTGAAAATTGCAAAGTACGCAACCTTTGTGTTCTGGCTCCCACCAGCCACGTAAAGCGTAGTGCGATTTCATCCTCCTGCTTTCAGGTGGTGGCCAGCGGAGATCTGCAACCCCCGGTCTGTGCCACTCAACATCCAGGGCCTCAAGCACGACCTGGGGGACTTCCCCGTGTTCTTCTTCGGTTCTCACGACTACTACTGGGTACACCAGGGCAGAGTGTTCCCTTACGTCGAAGGAGACAAAAGCTTTGCTGAGGGACAGACTAGTATTAACAAGACCTTCAAAAAAGGTACGTTGGACAACGTTCACAGTGGCTCAGAACTAACACCCCTGTGTTGATCTCTCCACACCTCCCAACTTGCATAAGACGTGTTTCTGGTGTTAGAGAGTTTTCACCAGGTGTTATGATCCGGCCTCCATAAGTTTCCAATTACATTAGAACCACATCACAATCCAGTCAGCTGGAGAAATACACTCAATGTGGTAGACTGTGCTGTGTATGTGAAAGGAGTTCCCTCAGTGATCTTACTACAAACATAGAGATTATTCTGGAAATACATAGTCTTCTTAGTCAAGTGAAGCTCCTTTGCCACAGAAGAGTAGTAAGATAGTAAGACTAAATGCTTCCCAGGAAGAGCCTTACAGCTGCTTTTGCAACAAGTTGCCGGGAAGTTTAGCTTTCTGGGTAAGAGTAAAGTGAATTTAAATCTGGTGCGAGGTAAAGAGCTGCTCTCTGGTTCACGTGGAAACCTCTGATCATTGAAGTGGGACCTCTCCTCCGAAGCAACAGCCTGCACAGGGCACGGTGTTCAGCCATATGGGAGTTATATCTTTTTTCAGTGTTACCCTATCCTGGTGGTAAATGGTTATTTCCAGAATATAATTTTAAAAAGAAACCCTCAGGCCAGATTCAGTGCGTTGGGAAGGCAGGGTAAAACTAATCTCTTAATGGTTTTTGTTTATTTGGTTTTTGGTATTTATATACCTTGTTTGGTCTTATTGGCAGCGTTGGAAGAAGCTGCAAAACGTTTCCAGGAATTGAAAGCGCAAAGAGAAAGTAAAGAAGCACTAGAGATTGAAAAAAACTCAAGAAAACCCCCTCCTTACAAACACATCAAAGTGAGTCTTTACCCGTGCAAACGTTGCTCTTTGACAGACAAGATGACATGCATTGCTCTCTTAGTAGTTAGAAGGCCCTTGTTGTCTTATAAAAACTTCTGCTAATTACCACGCAGTCTTCTGCAGAACAACCTGAGAGCTTCTGTTGGAGTATCAGCCGGGAGCCGGGGTTGCTGCCCTGGGATGATGGGGGCTCTGATGAGCCCCTCACACCGAGGAGCAAATACGTTTGATGGGAAACCCTGTCCTTGCCCCATCAGCTTGCCGTGTGACCAAATAAATATAGGGATTTAGCCCCTTTCTTCCAGACAGCCCACAGTGGTTTTCAGTTTTGAAATTGTCATCAACTGGTAGAAGGAGAAATACAGAGGATAAATAAGTGAGAACTCACATCAGGTTTTGATATTTTTGTCAACTAAGGAGAGACAGCTATTAATCTTAGCTTATTCATGGGGAAATTATGATCAAGATAAAGAGCCTTTCTCAGGGTCACACCACAAGGCAGTAGCAGAGCCAAGAGGGCCTGGGTGTTTCCTATGTCCTGTTCAAATTCCTCCCTCCCATTTGTGATTTTGTTGTTCAGGCTAACAAAGTGATAGGAAAGGTACAGATCCAGGTTGCAGACCTGTCAGAGATTCCCCGCTGTAACTGCAAGCCGGCTGACGAGAACCCGTGTGGCTTGGAGTCCGAGTGCCTGAACAGAATGCTGCAGTACGAGTGTCACCCGCAGGTGTGCCCGGCAGGGGAGCGCTGCCAGAACCAGTGCTTCACCAAGAGGCTCTACCCGGACGCAGAAATCATCAAGACGGAGCGGAGAGGCTGGGGCCTCAGGACCAAAAGGAGCATCAAGAAGGTAGCGTGGGATGGGGGCAGCGGCGGAACAGACCAGGACCTGTGCCTCTTAGAAATGCTTCAATAAGGATTAAATACACGGGGATTTATTCCAAAATTTTGAAACTTCCGAAGTTGAGAGTTTGGCACTTCTTGAGCAAAGAAGGAGCAGTAAAAAGAGGTAGTAATAAAATACACATAACACACCATTGTAAAGCAATTATACTCCAATAAAGATGTTAAAAAATTTTTTTAATTAAAAAAAAATACACATAACCTTTGGGTTTCCTATGATCAGTCATAAAAAGGAGAAGGGACACTGGTAACTCTATTTGAAATAATTTTTACTTGTTAAGCAAACTAGATATAAAATTTGTAAAGGAAAAAGAATAAAGTTAAGGGCGTACTGAGACAGAAACTAGCAACCCCAGGACTTTGCTCCAACATCATAATTCATTAGCCATGAAGCCCTGGTCAAGTCACTTAACCTCGCTGAGCCCCAGTTTCTTCATCTCTAAAATGGACATAATTCCTGCCCTACGTGTTTAAGAGTTGTTGCTCGTCTCAAACTAGATCACATATACAGAAGCAACTGGAAAAAGTTGAGATCTTTGATACTTATAAATTATCTTCATTCTTATACTTTGAAGCAATTTTTCAAAGCAGTCTTTTTGTTTAACATGAGAAATACATGCCCATTGTAGAAGATATTTTAATGCAAATAGCTCAAAGAAAGTTGAAAATCACCAGTAAATCCTGCTATTCAAACAGTGGCTCTCAACCTTTAGATATCCTGAGAATCTTCCGGGTTCCTTGTTACAACAGTGCCACCTGAAATATTGGTGACAGGCCTGAACAATCTGTTTTAAAACAAGTCCCCACCTCCACCCTTCCCTCCACCTGCCAACATATAGAACTTGGAGCTGTGTTTAGTGAGAGAAGATGGGCCTAGTGGGAATAAAAATTTTTCTTGGCATTTTTCTGCCTTTTAAAAAATCACCTTTGTAATGAAGAAATACCATATAATGTAGTAAAGAAAATCAAACAATACAAAAAAAGATAATAAACCGTGAAATTCCTCCTTCACCCTCAATTCCTGGTCTCCTCACCAGAGAGGACCATTGTCCATAGGTTGGTATGTAGCCTTTTAGAACTTTTTCTATGCAATTCTACACGTAAACACATATACAAATACATATTCATATATTCTGTATTTGTAGGGTTTTTTAAACATCAGTATAATCATACATATTATTCTTTTTTCCCACTTAGTGTATCAGAAAATTATTTTTATGGCAGTAATACAGATTTCACCTCATTGTTTTTCAGTCTCATTGTATTCCATAGTAAAATGTACCATCATTTACATAGCCTGTTTTCCAATAAATATATGTGTGTGTGTGTGTGTGTGTGTATACACACATACACACATTTTTTCATTCTGTTGATCATCTGTCATCTATTTCTGTAGGTCAGATTGCTTGGGTGAAACTCATTCATTCAGCACGTGTTTGTTCAGCAGCTTCCCTGTGCCTGGTGCTGTTCTAGGCACTTGGAAGCCAGCAGTGAGCAGGACACCTTTGTGAGTCCACCAGGGATAGATGATAGACATGTGACGCCACTTATCACCAAATGCCACCAAGAAAAATAAAGCTGTCAAAGAGGGTAGGGGTGACAGGGACTGGGTTCAGGAAGGTCTGACCCGAACGTGTGAGCAAGGAGGGCGTGCAGGCACGTGGAAGAGCAGGCCGGAGTGAAGGCCCTTCTGCGCCAGGACAGCAGGGAGCTGGAGAGGGAGCAGAGGAGGGCCGGGGGTGGGGGGTGGCAAGGTAGAGGGGCAGCGGGACCAGGTCGTGCGGGGCCTCGTCGGCCTCAGGACAGGGACTTCTGGCGGAGTTTAGTAGGGAGGGCGTCCGTCTGCCTCGATGTGTTGGTTTTCTGTTGCTGCTTAACAGGATAACCACAGACTTGGCAACTTACAGCATAACACACAGCGTACTATCCCACAGATCCTATAGGTCAGTGCGTAGCTGGGTCCTCTACGTAGGGGCTCACCAGGTTGCGGTCAGGGCACTGACCTGGCTGGATTCTCATTCTTGTGCCTCAACTAGGGAAGGATCCGGCTTCCCAGCTTGCACGACTGCTGGCACCGTTCTCTTCTTCACAGCGCTAGGTCTGAGAGCATCAGGTGTTTTGGGTTTGGGTTTGTGGTTATTGTTGTCTTGCTGCTCTTGGCTTCTAGAGGCTGCCTGCAGTTCCCTGCCAGATGGGGTTCTCCAACATGGCTGTTTGCTTCCTTACAGCCAATGAGGGAGAGAGACGCTCCAGCAGGATGGATGCTGAAGCCCTAATGTAACAAACTCACGTAATCACATCCTGTCACTTGGGCCACATTCTGTTGCTTAGAAGCAAGTCACAGGTCCTGCTGTCTCCAGGGGAGGGGGTTACACAACGGCGTGAGCACCAGCAGGCAGGGGTCATTGGGGCCACGTTAAGAGTCTGGGCTTCAGAAGAATAACTTGGGCTGTACTGTGGGGAATTTATGATAATGGAGAGAGAGCAATAAAAAGGAGACCATTACAGTCCCGGAGAGAGATGCTGGTGGCCTGGACTAACTAGGGTTGTAGTTGAGTAGGAAGGAAGTGGTTGGATTTCTGACATTTTAAAGGTAGAGCCAACAGGATTTGCCAGTGCACTGGGTTTGTGGATTGGGTCGCTTGGTCAAAGGCCGTCTGCGTTTAGAATGGCATTATATAATGCACATGTTTTGATATTACTTTAATGCCCTGCATATCACTTGCAAATTTTTGCTTATGATTTCAGGGGAGTTTGGGGAGCCATCCTGAAATCTATCCAGTTTAATACCATGTTAACATCTTTTAATAGTGGTTACATTTATTCTAAACCATAACTTAATAAATTAATGATATAATTAAGAGAAAAGAAAATACGATCAGGATTATTCTGCACTTTAGCACTTGAGGAACTGCTAATGTTAAGACAATTGGTGTTTTACAAAATAGCTAGAAATATACAGTCACTGAAAAGCATAATCATAAAGACTTTGTAGCAACATGGGGAAGGTTTGGGTATACTTAGGGGACAGAAACCAAATAGCAAATTGAATGTACACAGTCAGTCCCCTTCTTTTCACACATAACAATTCCTAAAAACGTGTGCCAGAGTTAAACAAGGGACTTCCTGTTATGATGTGGTTTCTTTCTTAGAAATTAAAAAAATTACATTAAGTACTGAATTAAACCCTGCCTTTTTGCCATTGCCTTTAAGGACAGATTTCTAACATTTTAAAAGTCTTTTTTGTTTTGTTTTTTTGGCCACACTGCGTGGCTTGCTGGATCTTAGTTCCCCAACAAGGGGTTGAACCTGGGCCCTCAGCAGTGAAAGTGTGGAGTCCTAACCACAGGACCACCAGGGAATTCCCTAAAAATTCTTTATTTTGTTATTTTTATCCATAATTGAATTCACAGTTAATGGTTTTAAGTCCAGTGAGCAACTCTTTGAGGCTAAAGATTTGTCACTTCTTGGATGCCTAAAATATTTCTTTTACAAAATAGCTAGAGACATTTATTCACAATGGTATCGAGTTTACGAGACTTGCACACCTCATGTTTGACATCAGCACTTTCACCTTTTCTGTATTCACCAATTTTCATAGAATAGTAAATATAAACTATAATAAATGGTTTTCAGGCCTTTAAAGCCACAGAACCCTTTCTTCAAATGAAACCTTAACTTGAATTCCAATTGGTAAAAAAAAACATGCAGCGGAGCTGATTTGGTTTAAATTCTGCTCTGTAGGTTTTCATTAAAGGAAACTTGCCATAGAATAAGGTAACACTAGGTGGCAGTGCAGCCAAGACGGCAATGAAATCTACCTGGTGAGGGCGGTGATACCATACAAAGGTGCAGAATGTTTTCAGCAGCCAGGGTCCAAGTCTAAACTGGGTGTAGGAAAAGCCACTCCGGGCCGACAGTGCGTAGTACCTGAACATGCAGAGCGGTCCTGTCGTGGTGTTGCAGTTAGAGATGAAGCGCTGTTCTTTTCCAACTCTTTGTCAGAGCTTTGTACTGTCAGTTAAAATGGGGGAGAGAAGAAGCCTGAGGTGCACTGGTGTGGTGACCAGGCCCAGCTGAAATGAGCGTGTGGCTGCCTGAAGCAGACGGCGTTCCTCCCCCATCTCACCCACAGCCAGCCGGCCGCCCAGGGAAAGGCTGACCCACAGGCGCCCTTCTCTTATACAGAAATCACAATCTTGTCTTTTTATCAGTAGAGAAAGGACATTGGCTTATGCTCTTAATGATTCATCAAAATCAGAAAATATAATATAGTACTCTTGAGATGACTGGTACTCTCAGTTCTGTGATACTAAGAGCTATGAGAACAGCTAGTGAGAATTTGTGTCGGGGGCTGGGGGAGGAACACAAGTCTGGTGAAGCAATAAGCAAATACATTTTAATTTACTGCCTAAGACATTTCTTTACCTTAAAAATGTATTGGTAACACCAGTAAATCCTGTAGCTAATGCTGTTGTCCTAGACTGAATCAGCCACGCTTTTGAGGTAAAAGGGTTAACGCTTATGCATTTGTAAACATGAAAGGTTGAATATACCCTGTTTACACTTATTTAAAAAGGAGCTTATCTCTACACACACCTGTTAGAAGAGCAAAATGAGAAATAGGGACTATACCACATGCTGGTGAGGAAGTGGGGAAACTGCATCTCTCATACCTGGGGAGAGTAGGGTGCGAATGCGCAGTGGTACAGCCACTCCGGAAAACAGTTTGGCAGTTTCTTAAAAAATTTAACATGTGCTCACCATATGACCCAGCATGTATCCCAGAGAAATGAAAACCTCTGTCTGCACAAAAACTTTATCAGAATGCTCACAGTGGCTTTATTTGTAATAGCCAAAACTTGGAGACAGACCATTCACATGTTCTCCAGCCAGTGACCAGTCACACAAACTGGTGCGTCCTTGCTGTGGCACAGCACTCAGCAGTGACAGAAGAATGAACTGTTAATACATACAACTTAGATGGATCTCAAGGGAATTAGGCTCAGTTTTTCTTTAAAAATCCAATCTCTAAAGGTTACATACTGTGATTCCATTTATAGAACACTCTCAAAATGACGGAACTATAGAGTTGGACAAGGTCCTACTGTTTTTCGCACAGGGAACTATATCCAATATCCTGTGATAAACCATAATGGAAAAGGATATAAAAAAGAATATGTATATGTATAACTGAATCACTTTGCTGTATGGCAGAAATTAACACAACATTGTAAATCAGCCATACTTCAATAAAATAAATTTTTAGAAGAACTATAGAGTTGGAGAACAAATTAGGGATGGAGGATGGATGTGGTTATGAAGGAGAAGCACAGGGCATCTGTGCTGATGGGACAGTTCTGTATCTTGCTTGTGGTGGTGGTTACCTGACTCTACACCTGGTAGAATCCAATAGAACCACACACATGCACACATAACACGCACAAATGAGTGCCTGTGAAATCGGTGAAATATGAATAAGGCTTGTAGATTGTACCAATGTCAATTTTCTGGTTTTATTTTGTACTATAGTTGTATTTCCAGGAATGTTTTTGGTTAATTCTCGGATTATACATGTGGTGTTAAGGAATGCTTTCTAATAGGATACACTGATTGTACATTTATATATTGCGTGCTCCTCTGCAGGGTGAATTTGTAAATGAATATGTTGGCGAATTAATTGATGAGGAAGAATGCAGATTGCGAATCAAGCGAGCCCACGAGAACAGTGTAACTAATTTTTATATGTTAACTGTTACCAAGGTAAAATTGCTTTTTTTTTTTGGTAAGAAAAAAGGATTTTTTGGTTTAGTTTGGTGGTCTTAGGTTAAACTCAGTTTCCTTCCTCTCATTTGGTTTTTCTCGAGCAAATTATAATGGTTTGCAGTAGCCAGTGTGTGTCCCACTATAATATGCTCATTATACCAGAGTACAAAAGTGAATGATTACTGGCGCCTTGCACAGGTCATGTGAGACGCGCTGTGAGTGAGAAGATGACCAGGAACAGGGTTGACACATCTGGATTTGAGTCCCAGCTCTTAGTCACTAGAAGACCTGGCCCTCAGTTTCTTTATCCCCAAAGGAGAGAATCAGCTCTGTAATTCTAAGTTATAAACCACCAGTAAAGTTCTGCTTTAGCAAAAATCCTAACTGTAAATTGTTCTATATATTTAAACTTTTTTTATGAGTTAGGAAAAATGAATGCTGTCAAAAGAAAAATGACAGTAAAACTTCTGGTTTAATACATGTAACTGAGTGCTGTTTGATGCACATTACAGCACAACTATTTCATTTAATTTCTTCAACAGTCCTCTGGAGTATAACCTTTAAAAATTGTGACACACTATATTGTACATCTGTAACTTACACTGTACACCAATAACTACACTTCAATAAAAGATTAAAAAAAAAAAATGGTCCTCTGATTTACAGAGGACGAGAAACTGAGATCCAGCCATAAGTGATTTGTTGGATATCTTGTTACAGTTTAATGATGAGCCAGACTAGTACCCATGTTTCCTGTGTTCCAGGCTGTCTCTAAAACTGAGTCAGAACAGCCTTACAAGAACCAGAAATCATTGAAAAGAAGCACTATTTTAACTGATACGTCATTGTGTGAAAGTTTTACCACCTTCATGAACATATACTTTATATACATAAAATGCCATTTATATGTGACGCTGATTGGCCCCTTAAATCCTAGCCTCACTGCCGGTGACCCCTGCAGCCATCTGGACAACAGTTGGGAGGCTCCATCCTCTAGAGCTTTCCCAGACTATCAGAGTTTAAATTCAGGGAGCCAAAATATTGAGCTTTTTATGGTATTTTGAACTTTTGTTTAAGTAAAAATAGACTATGAAGATTATATCCCAAACTCTAGCCCTTCCATCAGTCAGATCTCCAAGCCTTCATTCAGAGAAGTTTCTTGTTTTTCCTTCCTCCCTCTTTATGGCCTAAGCTCTCATCCATCTGCCCCCCTACAAGCTTTGCTTCTTGCTTAGAGCAGGAAAGGAGGGCTGACAGCAAAGCACCATAGTTCCCGTCAGAAGTGGCATTCCGAGCTGAGAGCAGTCTACTCAGAAAATACCTTTCACTAAGCCCATGGCCAGCTGATCTCAGTCGCATTATTCTGTGGTGTGTTTGTTTCTAGAAACAAACTTTAAAAGAAACCAAACTCCACTTTATCTTACTTGCTTTTGACTTGGTCATCATGTAAAGTAGAGAACTCAGTCAGTTGTGCCGCGAGCACATTTTCGGAGCTGTCGGTCGTCAGACCTCAGCTGGTGGCAAACAGTGCTGCCTCGTGGCTCTCGCCTGAGTTGGATGTTTCTCAGACACGCTTATGCTCAGTTTCATGTCAAAGGAACTTTTCCTTTCTTTTCTTTCTGAAGGACCGTATCATTGACGCTGGCCCGAAGGGGAATTATTCTCGCTTTATGAACCACAGTTGTAATCCAAACTGTGAAACACAAAAGTGGACGGTGAATGGAGATGTTCGAGTTGGCCTTTTTGCTCTTTGTGACATTCCTGCAGGTAAAAGGGACTCTGCCCCCTCCCCGGAAAGCAAGTATGTCTTTGAGGGTAGGACATTCTGACACTCAAGTGTCAGACAAGTTTTGACACTCAAGTATTTATTCAAATAAGATAAAGAGCTATATTTAGAACTGTTACCTGCCCGTAGGAAGTAAACATCTATATCCTGCAAAAGGGAGCTTAGTAAGAGAGGGTATCACAGAATTCTGAATTAGTTCTCCAAATTATTGCTGTCTGTATAGTGTAACCAGATGTTTAAGCTTTTGTTTCCTTTTTTTTTCTTTAATATTAAAGAAAATATTAACCAGTTGTTACCATCAACTGGTTTCTTCGTTTGTTTGTGGGAGGTTGTTTTGTTTTGTATTTTAGTTTGAAGAATCAGTCTGTTTCAAATTAGACATAAAACGCTTCTCAAAGCAGAGTTACTGCTTTCATTTTTCCTTACCCATCCAGCATCAATAACAGCAAGACTTAATTTCTCGTTTGTTAAGTCTGTAGAAAAATGGGTGGGAAGAGAAATGCTGTAGCTAATAGTGATGTAAACTGTGTTTCTAGCACTCGCTGTGGATTGCTGAGGTCCAGCTAAAGAAAGCTTGAACTGGGAATTCCCTGGTGGTCCAGTGGTTAGGACTCAGTGCTTTCACCGTGGGGGCCCAGGTTCGGTCCCTGGTTGGGGAGCTAAGATCCTTCAGCCGAGCGGTGTGGCCAAAAAACAAAACAAAACAAAAATACCTTTAAAATGCTAGGAATCTGTCCTTAAAGGCAACGGCAAAAAGTGTTTAATTCAGTACTTAATATAATTTTTTTAATTTCTGAGAAAGAAACCACTTCATAACCGGAAGTCCCTTGTTTAACTCTGGCACACGTTCTTAGGAATCTGTTATGTGGAAAAAGCGGGGGACTGACTGTGTACGTTCAATTTGCTATTTGCTGCATGGTGTGGCCAAATTAAAAAAAAAAAGAAAGCAAGCTTAGACCTCCTAGTTTGAGTCCCTGGGTCTTTGGTGTATGTAGTAAATGTGCATTTTGAAGTCTTTTCTGATCATAATGTGAGGCATTAATTACTGGAAATGGTATGGCTGTGACAATTCCACGGTCATCTTGTTTATTTAGAAACTAGTGTAAATTAGTTTTAGAAAAGAGAGCTAAACTAGAACCCATTTTTCTTGAGCACAGATTTCAGATTCTTAGTCTCTGTCACATGGTCTTTGACCACTTCGGTGAAAAGAATATGATGGTCTTTGTAGAATATTTATTTTTGCTTTAATCATTGGTGGATGGGATGTTTTCCTCTAGTTTTTGTGTGGGGTTTTTTTTGTTTTTTTCCTTTTTCCCATCACCGTCTTCAGTGTGGAACACGGAGGATGGAAGGGTCTTCATGTCAGAATTATGTCTCTTTTTTCGTTGTGAGGGTGTGTCTTTGACAGCATTTCTCTCCCCCAGGACTTGAGTCTGAATACTTCTCTCTCTTGTGTTCTAGGGATGGAGCTAACATTTAATTACAACCTGGACTGTCTGGGCAATGGCAGGACGGAGTGCCACTGCGGGGCGGATAACTGTAGTGGTTTCCTCGGCGTGCGGCCAAAGGTCAGTGGCTGCAGGGGGCGCCCCTGGGACTGGGGAGGGGCTGCTGAAGAAGCTTGTTTGGGGCTGTCTCAGGAGGTGCTGGCCAGGGGGACCTGGTTTAATTTGCAGGCCAGCAGTTGCGTTTACCCAGAGTTTAGACTCCGACCTCCCACTAGAGCATATCTCAGTGAGAACTGTTAGGTTCTGAAAATGTCTGTGTTTCTGATTGAATTTGAACTTAGCAAGATCTTTTGCAAAAACTTCAAAAAAAAATTCACACTATCCTAATACACTTTAGTGTATCCGAATTATACACTTTAAATTGGTGAACTTTATGGTTTGTGTATGCTATCTCAGTTGTCTTTGCAATTAAAAAAAAAAAACAAACACCTATTCAAAAATCAATGAAGAATGAATTATTTTTACTACAGTTCCATGACAGAGTAAGCCCTCCTGGTGTTTTAGGTAACCGAACAACAGGTGAATTTAAATGAACGTGAGGTTGTAGGATCTCCCTTTTACGTAAAGCTTCACACACTGTGATCGTTAAAACCGTGACCCCCTCTTTCCTGCCAGTCGGCATGTGCGTCCACAACTGAAGAAAAGGCAAAAAATGCTAAGCTGAAGCAGAAGAGACGAAAAATCAAAACAGAGCCGAAGCAGCTGCATGAAGATCACTGCTTCCAGTGCGGGGACAGCGGCGAGCTGGTCATGTGCGACAGGAAGGATTGCCCCAAAGCCTACCACCTGCTCTGCCTCAACCTGCCCCAGCCGCCCTATGGTGAGCCCGGCCTGCAGGCCCCGCCCGACTCCATCTCTGCCCACCATGCCTGACTCAGAATACGGGCGGTCCAGTCCCCCGTGTGGAGCCGTGGGATAGGAAGCGTTGGAGAGAACAAGCAACAGTAGCAAGCAAAGATTTTGCTAGTGAAAAATCTGTCTCAGTGCAAATGGGGGACGCCCGTGGGCCAGCAAGGACTGGTGTCTTACTGTCCATGACCACAGGTGGTAGTTGGCTCCTAGCTGAGTTTGGGGCAGTGGCTTGCAGCCACACCGACAGGTGCACCCAGACCTCTGCTGGCTGAGGTTTGGAGTCATAGTCAACTGCATTCAGTCCCCAGTCCGAGAGGAAGGTGGGAAGTGGGGTGTCTTGTGGGTGTTGGGGACAGGCACTCACTGGGCTCCTTCCCTTCTTCCCGCCCACACTAGGAAAGTGGGAGTGCCCGTGGCATCAGTGCGATGAGTGCAGCGGCGCAGCTGTGTCCTTCTGTGAGTTCTGTCCACGTTCGTTTTGCAAAGATCATGAAAAGGGGGCTCTGGTGCCCTCCGCCCTGGAAGGCCGTCTCTGCTGCTCTGAACATGACCCTGTATCTCCCGTGTCACCCGAATACTGGAGCAAGATCAAATGTAAATTGGAATCACAAGATCACGGAGAAGAAGTCAAAGAATAAATGGGCAGTGATTTCCTTCTTTTTTTATTTAAACGAAGAAAGGAAAAGAAAAAAGTAGAGAATGCGTTAGTACAAGAAGAGACTGCTGCAGTGCATACAGCCTTGGCCATCAGCGCTGCCCTATTAAAGTGAAGATGGGGAACCAGGCCGTGCAGGCAGAAGCCGTTGGTGGGATCTGGTTTTTCAGTTTCATCCTGTCAGTTTGGGGATTCTTTTGTGGAGGGTTAGATTCCCTTGGTCTTTTCTTGCCTTTTATTGTGCTTCAATGCCTTTGCAGCTGGCAAAAGAGATGTCTTCGCTTTTAGAATAAGAACAAAGAGAAAAAGTTTTGTTAATGAGATAAATTTAAAGTCTAGGGTGTGTTCCTTGGGTGTTAAAAGCAAAAGTAGCCATCATTCCTTTATTTATTTTCATTTTTAAAAATTTTGAGAAGTGTAGTTCAGATAGTCTAATCTTCGTGTGTGTGTGTGTGTGTGTGTGTGTGTGTGTGTGTGTGTGTGTGTTTTAAGTAGGAATTGCAGAAAGCCCTCTAGAAAAGGGTATGGTGGTCTTACATACCTCTTTCCTGAGCAGTAGGGAAGCTGCCTTCGCTTTCCCTTCCAGACGCCTCTCGTAGTCTTAGAGAAGGGCTCTGTGGGAGTATTGAATCTGGCCTCTTGAAATCAAAAGGCCTCAGTGAATATTACCTCTGTGGTCTTAAACTAGGTGGGCTTTCCGATATAACTTTACCTAGAAAGGTATATAATGTGGTTGTTGGTTTTTTGTTCTGGAGAAAAAAAGAAATTGATGCCCTCACTGAGTTTGAAACGTTCTCCACTGATAATGGGTGTTTTTGATGAAGTGTGTCTCTGTGGCTATGAATACAGAGTTAGAATGGTCATTCCTGTTAAGAGACTTGACACACTGGTAAAGGCAGCTAAAGGGAGTTGAAAGGCACAGACCAAATGTTGGGTCAAATAAGCACCATTTTCTATCCAATTTAATGTACACCCTGGTCTGACTTGGAGAGAATTATGGGCATTTTAATTTTCTGTCTCTGCTTTCCTCTCCCAAGCAAACATTTCCCTTTGTCAGCTGACCACTCAGTCACGTGTCCTTGTGAAAACTACACAAATGAATTTGAACTGTATTTGAATAGATCTTTTTGTTCAGTTCCTCATTTGGGGGTGAAAGTGGTAGGGGGCATCCCCAAGTTACATGTAAACAGTTACCCAGTACTTAACTCACCCCCACTGAGCAAGGGGAAGCACTTGTGCTTCTGCAGGGTAGATGAGAGCCTCACAGACACACTTCATGGCAGGAGGCACTTAGGGAGAGCTCCGCAGAAAGCAGTGATAGCAGGA